CCAAAATACTATATACACATATTGGGAAATATGTTTGGCCATAAAAATGACAAGTGCCGAACTCAGAGGAACATCAAAGCCTCGTGAGGCGTGTGGCACGTACACACATGTGGCAGTAATAATGAGACAAGTGCAACATACTTGCAAAATGTCATTTGGTGTCACCGGCACCAGCCGAAAAAAATACATACGAGTATATTCCCATCAAAAACTGTCTTCCCTTAGTCGTTTGGTGGTTGAACACGAAATTTTCCCCCTGGAAATTGGCAAATGACAGAAAATTCGCTTAACGATGCGGATACATCTATATGTGGGTAATTTACCAGGGGCTGGTAATTTCTCAACCTTTTCGTGCCATTTCTTTGTTTATTTAACAACTGAAAAGTTTGGCGAATTCTCGTCTACCGTGCACTTGTCACTTTTGGAGGCGTAGTCTTCGAAAAACCTTGTATGGCTGAAAGCGAAAGAGCTGACAAAGTTTCACAGAAGAGCAGCAAGTTCAAGACTGCTTTTTTAAGTCGGCCCTGCCCTTCTGCATGTGCTCTTTTCATATTGTTTTTATTAAGACATTATTAGCACCAATATTTATGAGACAATCTTCTCATTTTTTTTGCCCATACAAATAAATCATTCAAGTCGTTGACTGTATTTTTTACGATTTTTGCATAATTTATACTAATCAAAAAAGAAAGAGAAAAACAATTAAAATGATTCGTGTCGAGCCCGCAGATATTTTTTCATTTACAACTTCTCCTTGCCTTGTTGGGATTTAAGTATTTCTGTTTATGTTTTGAATTCTGCTTGTATTTTCTACCTTTCCCCTGAGAAACACGATCATTTCATAGCTGCTAATGAAGTGAGTTTCTGTTCGCGTAGTTTTATGTCATTTCCAACCAGAAGTTAATTTGATTCCTTTTTTTTTGTGTTTTCATTTGCATGCTATATGGCCGGAACACGTTTTCTGATTTTTACAAATCCGTTTCCATGTTTTTTTCGCTCCCAAGGTATCGCATATCGTACACAACTCACATATCTTATGCTTATCTGCACTCAATGGCAACGTTTCATCAAAATGTCAGCGTATATCATAGAAATCAATAAATTTCAACTTGCCAATGCACGGGCGAAAAATAACAAAAAATGTTTATCAATTTATTGTGGCAGCATTTTGCATAACGCTGGGTAGATTTTAAGTCATATTTTATAAGCAGTCGGATTGTTAAAACAAAAGAATGTGGAATAAATGCGAATTTATTTAAGGTAATATATTTTGCAATCCAGAATTTTTATATGCGGGTGATGCGGGCAAAAATAATGCAACGAAACCAAATTTATATATTTTATTAGTATTTTTTTAGTTCGCCATTTAATTTAATATAAGTTTTGGTTTCCATCAAGAGACTATCCACTCTTCAAGTGCCACATCCTCACACATGTTGGCTTTTTCCATCCGAATCTGACCATAAAGTCACACATTAAGCACACGAGATTTAACAGAATTTGCTCATTTCGCACTAATTTGCAACTAATACCCAGGGTCTGCAGCCAAACACTGACCCCAAGACAAAGGCCAGTCCGAAATGGGCAATTGTCTGAAATGTTAAGCCTTTTAATCAATTGCCAAAAATACAAAAAGGCCCAGACGGCAGGAGCATACGTATATTCCTATTCCCAAATGGGGATTTCGTTCATTTCGAGCGGCATTAAGTTCTCATTGAGGGGACAGGCAAGGTTTAGTTTTGGTTTTCCCTTTACGGATTTTAATGGCACCCTTTTGCCCAAGGAAAACTGAGCCTGCTTAGCCCCACACATAGCCAACATTATAACATAAAAATCAATTTCCCTCGGTAATTACAGTTTTGTGGGGGCGTTACGAACAATTTGACCTCTCCCAAAAAATAAGGAAAATCATTTTGTTTTTCTCCTCTGTGGTTGCATGTGTAAAATGTATTTGAATATTTGATAAGTTTGACAAGTTTGATTCGTTGGCAGAGTGACAAGCTGATAGACAAAGGTTCCCTCGAAGATATCAGGTAAACGGCATATGACATGGAAATTGTTAATGATATATGAGTTTCGTTCTCCGATTTCCCATCTCGACGGCTCTCCATATCCATCTAATTGATTTCGTTGTGTGTCCAGTCTAGCATGTTACTTAGTCAGCAGCCGGACAGTTGGACAGTTTTGTAGGTCTCCCCCCGCGGACACAGGTTGTGTTTATAAAGTCATTACCCGGCAGCCAGCTGGAATTAGTGGACGGAGGGGTTCGGAGTTCCATTCTGACCCTAACCTGCACATCATCGGGAAAATCATCAAGTCTCGGCTGCTTCTTCTAACACTTGGTTTATAGACAGTCGAGCTTCGCAAGAAAAATTAAGTTGCTATGAAAATATGGAAAAAGTTCCACAGAAAATATGTCATGGAATTTAGTTACTTATTATAAATAACAAAATCAATATTAATTTAAATGTATAAAATATAAGTCTATTATTACATAGCTACCTATAAAGACATTATAATGAATTATCATTTATAATATCGAAATCAGAAACTAAACGACTTGTAAAGTATAGAATTCTTTAATTAAATACTAAGATCAATAAATAAATAAATATAAAATATAATGCATATATGATCAACCAAATCCGTTATATATTTTATTATTTTAAAATATAGAACTCATAGCTCATGTTAAAGTTATGGAATGTCAACTGTAATATTTTTCCTATTGATTTTTATGCAATTTCACGTAATGACAGGCGGCAGCGAACAAAAAATGTTAATTTCTACAAATTTTCACCGTGGCGCCAAGGTGACAAGGGATTTGGTGGCACCGCCGTGTCACGGCTGTCCATAAACTCGCACTTTGTGGCACACGTGCCGCGGCACTTGGGCGCACGTGCCCCGCCCCTTCGCCGCCCCATCTACCGTTAGACATTTTGCCCGATCATGTTTGGGTTAATGAGTGGGGCGTGGCAGGGGCAGCGCTGATTGTTGATTGCCGGTTCAACTTGCAACTTGCCTCGAACGCGTGGCCACTCATTCTCGAACTGCAAATGCCGCATATTCGGAGAGTCATGCTTCAGAATTTTATATTTTTTTAAATTTTAAAATAGAGATAAGATATGTTATAAGAATCAAAGTTGTCAATGCAAGCCATTTTATATTATTTGATCTCTAAAGAATTTTTTATCCTTGTAACTCAATTTAAAAAGAAGGGTAAAATATATTTTAAAAAGATTTTAGCTTAATTAAATCTAAAACTCAATTGTAAGACCTAAATATATAATTTGTAAATTTTTTTTTCTAGATCACTAACCTATTTCGATTCAATTATGTTTCAATTGCTTATAATTTTCCGAAAACTAAACGAGCAGTATTTTTCACGCCCCAATACGCCATAATTCACTTGAAAAATATGTTTAATTTTAATGGGTTCATTTTCAAATCGATTTCCCTTCGCCGGAATAAATCAATTCGGGGACCAGCCCACCCACGCCCCAGCAATTAAGTGGCTCAAATATTTACAAACGCCCCCCCGGGAAAATTTAAATATTTTGTCACTGTTTGTTGGACACCCGACATTTAACCTTAGCCCACAAGTCTGCTGCTCATCAGACGCCCCATCGCTGGGATACACCATGTATAGTATATATACATATATATATTTATGGTATGGGGTGATGGGATGACGGGATGACGGGGGAGTACCAGAAGCCTCCGAGATCCACAGCTGCGTCAGCATCATTTACATTCAAATTAAAACGAAAACGGAACAGAAAACGCCAAAAGGAAATTTATGCCAAGGGAGCTCAACCCAAACCGAGAGTTTCCCCATCTTGTTCGCCTGGCAAATGATGAGTTTGTTACCATTTTTGTGTGGGGCGGCGCTCTGTTTGTTTTGACACTTGGGTCTACATGACTACATGGATCTTTGGCGGTCTTGGCCTATAAATTACCCCGACATTTGACATATGTATATGCCCCCTTCGTAGTGGTTGCTCCTGTAAAGATCGCCGGCTGGCGATAGCCTAATGTTTTGTTTGTTTTTCCGATTAGTTTGTAATTAACTCCGGCCGAAGATCGCCGCCCAGAGATATCTACATAATGTCCGAAGGGAAAGTGCAGGTATAAATATAAATTTGGCAAGTGAGGTGCCAGATAGACAAATGCCGATAGCACCTTTTTCAATGAGTTCACCATATAATTGGAGGAAGTGTTGCTATTATTATTTTCCGTCCCCACAAGATGTTTATCCACCAAGTTAATTTCTTTATAATTAGGCAAAGAGTGGCAGTAGTATACCTATATAGTTATCAAAAAATGCTATTATTTCCGATTAGTTCGGGCCCTCCATCAAAATGGGGAAAAGTGGAAATTTCCCAAGACCCTCGATACGATTTTCGTACGCTTATCCACACCAGAAACTCAGACCCAAATCCAGTGCCCAATCATCCATCAAGACTCCACTTAAGACCCAAAACTCCGGCGTGTCAATCGAATTTTCTGAACACCCGAAAATCCCAATGAAAAATTTCACTTTGAGTGACCATGAAAATGCATTCGTTCGAACACGAGAGTGTGTTTAGCAGCGTATCTGTATCGTTGTATCTGTATCTTTTCCAGTCCCCTTCAGACTGCATTTCGTTTTTCAATTTGTTCTGCCGGCAAGGCGACACTTGCACCCAAGGAATTACGCCTATGTGGAACAGGATATATCTGCAATATTCTGGGAGAAATTCAAACAGGATTTCTGGCTACTTTGCATAGCTGTGAAATGGAGTGTTTGCCAGGGCATTATAATGCGTAATTTATGTGGAGTATTTTTTATAAACGAAAAGTAGCGCGTAATATGAGTCTTGAAGAAACTTGAGATACTACGGAAATTGCTCGAGATTAAGTTGAACAAATGACTCCGAATTTTATGGCTGATAACAAAACTAAATAAACCCCCAATAAAAAGATGTTTGTTAACTTTTTGGTTCACATATTTTTATTTATTTTTGATTTGTTTTTGTATGTTTGTGTTTTTTTTTGTATTTTTTTTGTTTAATAGTTTTTGTTTAAATATTTTTCGTGCTTTCACTTTTCATTAGCGTTCACATTGAATACAGATTATGGTTTTACTCTCCTCTAATTTATGCTAAATAAATCTTCTCGTTTTCGCCGGATAAATAGAACTAACTGAAGCGTCTATGAATTTATTGTTAATACTATGAATATATCATTAGATGTAATAGCATAACTAACGATTAATGTTTACACTATATAGCTATATATAGTTTACAATCGTGCAGCATTTTTTATTTATAAATATTTATTTTCTGCTTTTTTATATGCATAGATTTTTGAGTGAATTTTGTTCTAACTTTACACTGAGATGAGTTTGTCTTGAACAACATTGAAACATTTGTACAATAAATTAAACTAAATTACAAAAATTCTCTAGGGGAAAGTGAGAAGAACTGTACAGCTTATAAATTATTCAAAATTTTTACAACAAATAGAGAGAAATGGTTTCTTAGCTTTTTATGTATGAACAACAAATAATTTACAACATTCAAGAAGAGGTTTTCTTTTTCGTTTAGTTTTGCATTGAGACTAAAAGTCGTCATAAAAATTTAAGAAACAAAAAAAAGTAAAGGAAGTTTTTTGAAGAATTTTTGAATTCCATTTTAGTTTGTTATTAATATTTAAATAAAATGATTAAAAATCAGCTTTAACACTTTTTAGTATTTTTCGGTATTTTTTCATAATGTTTTTTGTAGTATTTCTGATAGATGACGACTTTCAACCTCAATGTTTCTAGTTATAATACTGCTCGTGGCAAGAACTTGCTGGCTGTCAGCTTAGTGGGCGGGGCTGCGGGAGGCGTGGACCGCTGGCGGGGAGCCGGCGGCCGAGGACGGTGGCCCCTGACCCTGCCCCTGCCCCTGACCGCCGGGCAGTTGGTAGGGACTGAAGCGCTGATACTGACGCGGTCGCATATCGGGCGACGGCGATCCCGATGACGTCGACGAGGGAGTCGAAGCGGTGGGCGGGGGCGGGGGCGTCCGGTTGGCGGCCATCGCTGCTGCCGCCGCGGCCGCCTGCGCCTGCGCTTGAGCCTGAGCGGCGGCTTGGGCGGCGGCGGCCTGCTGATTGGCGCTGGCCAAAAAGCCGGCGGTAAGTTGCGGCCACTGCTGCTGGAACATGTGGAATGCCCCCAATCCAGGAGGAGGAGGAGGTGGTCCCGCTGCCGCCGCCGCCGCCTGATACATTTGTGGCATCATCAGCTGGGCATACGGGGAGTTGCCACCGAACATCTGCAGATGCTGGCGCGCCTTCTCGAAAAGCGCCATCGAGGAGGGATCCCCCTGGGCGGCAAACTGTTGCATCAGCGGATCGGGAAAGAGACGCAGGGGCGAGCGGAGCTGCTGCTCCAGGAGCAGGGCCTCCATGGGATCGCGATCGAAGTCGGTGAGGCGGGAGGAGTCGCGGAATCCCTTGGCGAAGGGATTCGAGTCGATCTTCAGCTTGGTGATCAGCTGGTTCTGGTAGGCCGTCACCGCCGTGAAGACGGTTTCGGGGAACACATAGGTCTTGTGGTCCAAGTCCTGCAGTTCCTTGGGGTTCGACGGAATGCTCTGGCCATGGCTCAGACGCACCAAGTGGATCCTGGGCTGGTAGCGGTGCATCGAGTTCAAAACGATCTGGAAGGGGAAAAGAGATGGAGAGAGGGTTGCATTGTAGTAAGTCGGTTGAAAATAGTATGGGGGTATATTTGAGGATTAGGAGAGAAAATGATTGATATTATCTTCTTTAAAAAACTTTAAATTGTCCTAAATTCAACAATACAACCATAAACCATTATAAAAACACATATTGATTTTCTAGCAAAAAAATGTTTAGGTTTTAAAAGGAGGTCCCTAAATATTAACAATATAAAAATGAATAAAATAATAATAATAAATGCATAAGACTTTTAATACGATCTTTAAGTAAGCATTATCATTATATAAATAAGAAAAACCATAAAACTCTGATAGATGCAGAGAAAATACAATAAGATATTTTAAAACACATTAACAATTTAAATATTCCTATTTTTCAGCTAGGCTACATTAATCAAGGGAGAATATCTTTCTGTATATATTCCCGTCTTTCAAAATTATCAATCATTTAGCACTCGCGGCTAATCGCTACCTCAGCATCTGACTGTCTCAGCAACCGAGTATCTGAGTATCTCGGCATCCGAGTATCTTTGGTATCCGCGACTCACCTGTCCGTTCTTATCCATTTCGTTATTAGTCAGCTTCACCTTCTCGAAGGAGATAACTTGTTTGCGCAGCGCCTCGCAGCTGAAGGGACTGTCGGGATGGGCGTAGAGGCGGGCTGGGGGGGCGGGGTCAGCCTTGCCGGCCACCAGCCAAGCGGATCGATGGTAGGCGTACCGATACCGCTTCGAGTCCATGGGGATGATGTCCATGAGGACGGCGTAGCGATCGGCGGGCTGGATTTGCCTCAGCGGACCCGAGAAACTCACGCGCACAGTGGGGAACATGCGTCTGGAAAGGGTAACAACAAAAATTAATTCGATTAGATTTTCGTCTATTATTCTAAACATTTTGGGGATTGCCACACAGCTAGTTAAGTCCAAAATTTATAGCCCTAGTCTGGGGGCTTCAACTACATTTTCCCATATTTTCCTTGGCCTTTTCCTGCTTTGACAAGTGCAGACAATGAAAACAGTTCCTCTTTTCAACTCAAAATCTGTATTTCTCAGTTCAATATCCTGTGGTTTAATGTGTCCCTCCAAAAATCCGGTGACATAACCTCGGGGACCGCCCTGATGTCTGCGACTTCGAGGTGTGATTTTTACAATATCATTAGGGTGTCTATCCATGAGACCTGTGTGCGTGTGGTAAGGTGTGTGGACAACCCGTGGATATTTGGATTGAACTTGTTCCCATTCTCCCGCTGACAACAGCAACGCCCTTAGCTCTGATTTTCCTTTAGCAGGTATACAAATTTCCCTATTTTTTGGCACAGTTTTGAAAGAGAAGACCCCACACAGTCCCTGAGATGGCATGAAATTTTTGTTGACATTGCAAAACATTCGCAGAGTCAAAGAACATTTTTAATAGTGAAACAGGAACAGTTGATTTGGAAATAAAAGAGTTTTCAGGAAAGGTGATGAGCATAATATTATGGGATAAGAAAGGGATTTTAGAGATTCTTACAAGAAAGGAACAGGCCTATAATATGATCTGAAAAATCCTAATAAATTAAATCTGTATACCAATTTTTGGCGAAGAATATTTAAGCACCTCCCAAAATCTCCCACGTTGTTCCCCCATTTAAACTAATGCCTGTTTGCACTACCAACTGACTGGCTGACTAACTGATGGATGGATGCCTAGATGGTTGGTTGCCTAAGATGCTTACCTGCCCGTTTTGGTGATGATCATCTCGGTGCCGAGATCGTGAAAGCGATCCCACAGCTCTTTGGTCTCCAGGTGGCACTGCACCGGCTTCAGCTCGTCGCAATTGCAGGAGCCAACGATTTTGGGTGCCTTCTGCACCGGTTCGGGTGTCAGACGCTCCTCACTGTCCTCCGTTCCCGGGGATTGGGGCGGTGTGGAGCAGCGTCCTTGGCTGCTGGTGGAGCTGGTGTTTAGCTGCGATTCGGCGGAAGCTGTTTGTGCCACGGCGCCACCGCTGTTGCGACTCTTGTGTGCCACATTATTGTTGTTGTTATTGTTGTTGTTGTGGTTGTGGTGGTTGTGATGGTGGTGCTGATGGTGGTTCAAACGTCGCGCCTTGGTCGGCGGCTCCTCGGCATCGCTGCAGTCGACCACATCAACGTCAACCTCATCCTCCACCGAAATGGGACCTTAAATGACACAACAAGGAAAAGCGAAAATTGAAAATTAAATGTGAATTACAGGCATTGGATGGGCTAAGGTTAAATGATAAAAATGCACAAGGGAAAAACGCTAAATAAAATATACGGAAATAATTTATAGATTTTATTACAAGCTTTTCTAGCTATTAGATAAAAACTTGGGAAAATAATAGATTTAAAATATGATTGTTTAAAGTACTTCATTTATATTTAAAAAAATAATAGATAATGATATAAATATTTCAAATATGTTTTCAAAATACATTAAGTTCTATGCATATATTTTTTGCATTGTTTAACTTTAAAGGCAATTTTACTGTATAAAATCATGAACAATCGGTTTGAAAACCTCACTAATCTTTTCAAATATTATCTATAACACATCACACAATCTAAAAGATATTTAGAGATTTTTTGACTGTAGAAAATCACAAATTTTTCCTTTGAAAACCTCACTAAACTTTTCCCAAAATCACTATTTTCCATCACAAAATCTTATAGATATTTCCGAATTTTTCAACGATTTTTCCGCTGTGCATTTGGCCCAACTGAGGCCGCTTTTCCGTTGACAACATTGAGTGTTAAAGCTGATTTCGCGGCAGACAGCGTGGAGTCGTCTCATATTCTTGGAGTTTCCGCTTCGCTTCGCGTTACGATTGAAATTACAATGAGACAATGAGGCGACCGCTCGCTTAATTGGCAAGCTGAACACAAATTGGCAATTAAACAGCCCGAAACTCTAGCTGCGATTGCTCTTTTTCATTGCATAAACTGAAAAGTCGAGGGCCTCAAGGTGTGTGCAAAAGTTGATGAATAATATTTATGTCTATAGGGCCAAAACGAAACATGGCATACGCTTTCCACATTCCATTTAAAAAAGATAACGAAGTGATTGAGCAAACCTATATGCCCTTTTGGCAGTAGGCGATTCCAGACGGTAGGTGTTAAAATGCTAACTAAGCAAACGGAAAACGACGGTAACAAAAAGCCAAAAGAAATAAACAAAACAAAAATATGAAATTAAAAAGCTGCATATTTGATAAAAGATCGTAAAATATGAATGCCTTTGTTTTGATTTTGACCGTCGCTAATTTTCTGCGCCTCGTAAAATTAGTAAAATGAAGCACATTGTTGAAAATTAATTAACATAATTAGCAGCTTTTGTTAGCGTCCGCTGGAAAGATGAATCCAAGCGATTAGATGCTGTGCACAATTTGCATATTATCGCTGCAAGTGTTTGGTGTTCATGTATAAAAATATATATCTGATCCGCGATCTTTGGCTTGGCTAATTGCGAATGCCGTCGGCCAGAAAGAACTAGTTTTTACGATTCCAACCGGGCTCAAATGCCTGCTAATCGTCAATGGCAATTAAATGGAACTCTGCGCACCCAAAGCGACAACAGTAATTTAATAGATTCGTTGTGCAATCAATTAGCGATTGTCTTGTGGCTAATAATGTTTGCATTCGCCGGTCAAGTTAGCTGGTTTATTCTAAGGCGTCGAGTTGTTAATGGGATTATGAAGTTCTATATTTTTGAACTTAAGTTCTTTTTATTCTGGTCTCTGGCTATGAATTTTAGGTTTGTATCTCTAAATTGTCCCTAAAAAGTAACTTGGTATCTTCAAGGAACACGATTATAAGTTCTAAAGTTCATTTTTGTATTAAAAAATCATATAAAACACCTGTTTTATCTAAAGGTATATTCTATGAATTGTTCATGTACAGACAAAGACTTAAGAAACTAACCAATTTACCCTGAATCTCCAATAGACATTTAAGTTTTGTATCTTCATAATTGTATCTCTACATATTTACCCTGAATATCTTATATATTCAGTATATCTTTACACATCTTTTAAAGTTCCTATCAGCAAAGTATCTTTAAGATACACATCTGTTACCAAACAGGTGTATTTTTGTTGTATTTGTTAAAAATTACAAACACAAGTTCTCTTCGCTTTATAAGAAGTATATTTAAGGTATGTTTTGGTTAAAAACTGTATAATACCCAATTTAAAGCTTGTTACTCAATTATTTTTTAAAAGTATCTGATGAAGTATTTTTTCTATCAATTGATAGGGATTTTCCCGATTTCCTTTGTGAAACTTATTCCTAACTTAGGGTAGTCTATAAATGTATCTCAACTTACTTGCACTGCGGATGGAGGACTCCCGACTGGAGGCATCTTCGCGGGCCATGATGGCGGCGATGGAGAAGTCCGTCGCTGAGCCGGCGGCACTTTTGCTGGCGGTGGTTGTTGTTGTTTGTGCACTGGCATTCGGAGCGGTATTTGCGGGGGCAGCGGGCACAACGCCGTTGCACAAATACGGATGCGAACCAACCAGCATTTTGTAGGGTATCTATTCGTTCTCTATAAGGACTTAACTAGAAAATACCTTGGTCAGGTATTTAGATATTGTATCTGGTCACTTGTCAACACTTGGCACTTATAAAGCTAGCTGCATTTTCAGCACTTTAAGCTTGGTATGGGATCTCAAGGGATTTTTTGCTTTCAAAGGTGTTTGTATCTTGCAGATCTGTATCTTTATATCTTTGTATCTTTCTTTCTGTTGCTTTGGCGCACGCGAACTGAGTATCTCGCGGACTGAGTGTGTGCGCAACGGAAGGCAGGCGACGACGAACTGAATTGTGTCAGGAAATTGTTGCCGCTGAGAAGAGAAGCCGAAAACGACGGCAGGCGCAAAACTCGGGAAACCAGTTTTCCCTCTTAGCATGCCCGGCCAAGTGCAAGCGAGACAACTGTATGGCTCACGCCTAAAAATACAAGTGAGAGCGGTGCAGCTATAGGGCACTCACCCGCTGAGTGAAAACTCTCTCACTGGTTTTCCAATGGGAAAAGCGGCGGGGGAGGCAACGTGCGACAGAGAGAGAGGCGGCGCTGTCAGCAACTTGCGCCCCTCTCTTTCCCTCTCCACTCCTCTCTCTCTCGCGAACGCGTCATAACTCATTTACAATTAAAAATGTCGGCGCTTTCGTCTCTCTCGCTTGCACTTAACGCCCCCTTGTATTTGCCTCTCCCTCTAGCTCTCTCTCTTTCTGCCCCTCTCTTTCTCGCCCATTTATGAAGTGCCAACGTTTTGCTTGCGGTTTTTCTTCGCCCTTTTTTAGACAACTTTTCGCCGTTGTCGTCGCATTCCATTTCCTGTTATCTCCTCTTCTCACGTTTTCTTCCATCTTCCGTTTTGAGCGGCTGTTTCATTTCGTTTCCAACACGTTCCGTATCTCACTCAGTTTTGAGTGAGTTTTTCTATCTTTGAATTTTATTTTTTCCCGTAGCTGCATCTTGATGTTTTTTGCTTTTATTTTATCCGCAAGGACATGGACCTTGAGTCAAGGTTATTGCAATCAGGCGTTGAGAATTTATTAGTTTCAGCGATGATAATGTGGGGCTATCAGCTTTGAATGGAAAAAACACTGCTAATTTATACTTTAACATAAGCCTTGTTCCTTATTTTAAATATTAAAAAAAAAAATTTTAATGAATAAATAAAAAGGTTGTTTTTACTGTGGCTACGTCTTGTATTATTCGGCAACACATAACATATATCAAAATATAAAAATAATTTTTAAAATGATAAAAAGATTTTAGAGTATTTTAAAATTACCTTTTAAAGTTTGTAGAAAAATACTTTCTAAATTCATTCCGAGAGTCGTTCTTTGCCATACGAATATTATTAATTTAACTACAAACGTTTTAACACGTTGTTTTAAGGCTTCACAATCAACCCTTTTAAGAGAACCCTGAATTTAAATTTCTACCATGGCGACCCACCACCAAAGAAGTTCCCTTAGCAAAACCCCTAAAAAGTAAATAACAGGAATCGTTTCAATTTAGTAACGCCCCATCAATGTAACATTTTGTATAATAGCCCCTGAAATAATTTCTCATATTTTGCATGCCTTATGATAGAGGTCACTCCTCTGGAAAATTCCCCTATAATATTTACAGATGTCAACAAATCGTTATGTTTCCCAGGCCAAAGTCAAGACCTTTGTCAGTGCCAATTAACCCGCTTAAAAATGCAAAGAAAATGCGGTTAAGCAAAAGGAAATTCATACCAAGTGACAGTTCGTCAAATTCATTACGTGTCGTCGAGGGTCGCCAATCATAGAGAAAGGAAATCCTGAGTTCCGGAACCCAAAGATCCTAACTAACTAACAAGCTGACTAATCCCGCTTATCGTGTGCGAGGAAAATATCTTCTTGTTGTGTGATTTCTGTAATTTGAGACATTTTTTACGTCGGGGAGAGACAAAGTGGGCATGTCACTTTGACACTTTCACCCTGGGAGAAATGGTGAAAGTGGTGGGGGAGGGATGCTTCGTGTGTGTTCTTGTTACAATTGCAGTAAAGTTAATAGTTCAATTCCAAAAGCATTCATACATGGAATCAGGACACAGCATGAAGTAAATTTGATGTTATATTCTCAAATATATAATAATCATTAAAGAATTATCAATATTTAGAAGTGTTATTTGATCGTTTTTACCCGATCTATTCCTATTTTAATCCCAATTAATATTACATTACCTCCTAAAACACAAGCAATATAAAGAAAACATTTTTTAAGGCTATAAATATTAATTTCTATCTAAATTATGCCTAAAAATGCTGCCTAAATTAAAACAAAATAAGACCAAGCTTAAAAAATAATTTTAAATAAATTCGTTAAGCTGCAAAAGTAAACAATTATATATGTAGTGCCTGCAACTAATCATATTAATTTGCCCTTTGCTGTACATCTACATGTGTGTCTTTTTAGGTGGCAGTCGCGTATGTCACCAAAATGTCAAAAGCCAAGGAAAACACAAGTTGTGAAAACAAAGGGCAGCCGCTCCGAAAAAGTGGCCACTTGGCACTTGTAAAAATAAACAATTTCGCTTGTTAATTAGTGCGGCTAACTGTCCTCGTTTGACTTTCTCCTTGTTATGTCCTTTCCCTCTTGAAATCTCAAGTATTTGGCCCTCGGCTTTGTCGGCAATTTATAATTTCTTCGATACTTTTCCCTTTTTTAGTTAACGATCGCTTTGGGTAATCGAATACTTTCACTTTGATTTCAACCGACATGGAAATTTCCTCTGGTCAATGAGAAGGACATATTTTCCTGCTCCAATTTTCCTGGGCGGTCACTTTGATTGATGATGAGCGGCCAATAGATAACTAATGTTTTGAGCAGACTTTAATTTCATTTTTCACTTGGCTCACTTGAGTTTCCCTTATTTTGTCTGCGGCATTTCCGCTTCTTAAGTTCATATAACACTTTCCGGGGCTTCGATTGCAAAGGGTTTATCAAGGGGGTTTTCTTTTCCCCTTTTTTTTGAGCACTTGAGCCCCCCTGAAGTGGGAGGCACGTGTTCTTGTTATTTTTATTTTTATTTCCATTTCCATTTATTCAAGGGGTCTCAAGGCGAGGAAGCGGAGAATTTCCGTTGGCACTTGCCGCGACTTCGAATCTGCCCGATAAGCATTAAAAGCGGAAGCAACCCAAGCACTATTGGGTTTCTATTTATAAAGCGGAATCGCGGCAACATGTGTGCTGAGATGTGGAAATATTAAGTTCGCTTTGGTATCACTGCTTGTAATACAATGTATTGCATAAAAATATATTATGTGGGGCTACCTGATATTATAATAACACGCTTATCATAAAAACCTTGCTTGTCATTTATATATTTTTCCATCTGTTAAAACAATACAGAAGCTATTAGTAGGTACTACGTATTGTGTAAACTGCATGACAATAGTAAAACAGAAACATATCTACCTTTATAAATATTTAGCAAAAATGAACTTAGTTTCGTAAACATATTTTTGTATTCATGGTATATTTTCGGATTCCACTCTTTTTATACCCTCCTTTAAATTTGTCCTATAAAAATAGTTCTACAAAATTAATAAATTATAATACAACGCTAATAATAGTAATTCTTTCATTAAAGAACCCCAAAACATTTCCAGTTCCTTATAATTAGAATTCATTACTTAATGTTTTTTTTTTAATTTTTGTACTCTAATATTATCCTACCTATACCAAATCGCATTTAAAATTTAATAATTCATAATCCAACGGAATCTCTGTTCCTTCCCCTAAGATCCTCAAATCACATTAGGCATTTCCAGTTTCTGGTGCCGCATTGTCTGGCGAGGACATTTGCCAAATCATCTTTCATGCTTCACGCATTTCCCTAGTGTCCTGCGGTCTGCCCGCAAATATTTACCAAATATTTTCCATTATTTTCAGTTGTTTGCACTGAGAACGCCCACAAAAAATGAAGAAAAATGAATATTTCTGGGTGTAAAAGGAGGAAGAAGGCTGGACAACCGGTTTGTCTGGGTGTTTTGTTCTGGAATTTATTAATGAAACTCATTGGGTTGGGTTTGCTTTTTGGGCTTTGCCCTGGGGACCCGGTTGTTTTGGGTCTGGGTGCATCTTCAAACCGGGGCCGACGCTTTGATAAATGCCCGACAACCTTTGGCTACCGGGTCCGAGTTTTTCCACTCATTTTTCCTCTTAGCCCGGTAGCAATTCCGCTAAAAGTTGGCCAGTCTCCTCCTTTTTTCCAGTGCTTTGTTTATGCAAAAAACCACAGAGGACCGCTAGGAAATGTGGCGAAAATTTCTGGGAATTCCCTTTTTGCAGACACTATAAATCTTTGCGTATCTCTGAGGTGGCTTTCTGAACATATATAAATGTATCTGTATCCTACGTGTGTGCAGTAACAATTGTCACACCTTTCGGCGGCCACTCAGCAACCCCCTTGTCCCCTTAACCCCTCTGCGGTGCTGTGTGTGTAATTTGACTCATTAACAAACCGAAGCCGAGCCTCAATCTCTGGCTGTCTGTGTGTTTCTGAAGGGTTTTCGGCCTGTCTATGCCACATAAATCACAACTTAAACGATGCGTAATGCTGAGGCCCCAGATCTTGGCTTTATTTATTTGTTTTATTTCTGCTCTCGAAATTTATGTCATTGTCGGGCAACGCCTTTTCTTGTTTTCCCTTCAGTTTTTTTAGTGTTTTCCCCATGCAATTGGAGTCGAAGCTCGGGCACAGGCTTAATCTTCACTAAAACGCCCATTTTGTGCACCTTAACACTAAATTTACATATCCACCCGGGCAGCTGGTGGATCCTTCTCTTTTTTTATGGCCCAATTACAGACGGCGATTTCACATTGAAAATCTTTACTCTTGGGCAGCTGCAAAATCAGCGACTTGGGGATTGTATCTTCAAGATGCCGGAGATTACCCCAAGTGCCCATAATTGCAACTGGCGAAATGAGTTCACTTGGAGTCGGCAATTTGCCGGTAATTATTACCCAATCCGCAGCGCAGAGAAATCCGCAAAAATTATAATGAAATTTCATAAATTATTGAGAATATTACACAGCAGCAAAATGTCAAATTGGCAAAATTCTACGAGTGCAAGGTGAACTTTGTATTACTTTGTTTTATCGTTTATTTTAAGGTGTTATTGCCATGCAAGATTTTAATAAAGATGTCCTTTTACAAAGATGTTTTGCATTATTATTATTAATATATTCCTTTAATTATGATATAATATTTTAATCAAAGTAAAATAAGGTAAATTAAATTAATGTAATCATGAAAGGGTTATAGAAATCGACATTAGT